CCTCCTGCCGGGCAGACCCCAGGTTTCTGCCCCACTGGCCTGCAGATGTGTGTGCCTACCTGGCAACTTTGGGTCACGGAGAGAGGCCCCTAGAGCTCTATTTCTGCAGCAGGGTGAGGCGGGCCAGGCCCGCAACCCTGGGTGGTCCTGGGATACACACTGGGGAGTCCTGGGGGTCCTGAGGGAAGGGCAGGGCACCTTGAGCTGGGGGAGCAGCAGAGCTCCCACCACCTGGGGGAGGGGCTTCCCCGAGTTCTGTCCCAGTCCAGTGGCGTGTGGGCCTCTCCTGCAGATGGATGACTGGTGGGCGAAGGAGTGGGTGCTGTGGCAGGGATGCTGATGTCACGGGATGCTCTCAAGATGACCACACCCGTGACACCCTCAGTCACCATGCTGGGAGCCATGGTCTGGGGACCATGTAGGGGCCACAGGGCCAGTCTTCCCCAACCGCCGCAGTCCCAGGTGGGTCAGGCTGGCCAGGGACAGTTTTGGGTTAGGTGTCCCCTTCTTCCATAGCTGCAGAGGCCCCAACTCCTGCCTGTGTCCTTGCAGGCCCGTGGCCACAGTCCCACTGTGCTGAGCCAGCTGCAGGCTACCTGGTTGGTTACTGAGGTCTTGGCCTGGGCACTTCCATCCCTGCCACTTGGGGTCCAACTCTAGGCAGAAGCTCAGCCCCCGGTCCCTCTAGGCTCGGGGCTGTGTGCATGGCAGCCAGGGGAGGGGGCACCAGTTGAGGGTTTAAGGTCCACACACCTGCCTGCCCACACCCCAGGAGACCTGCATCTCTACAGCCTGAGCCCCTTCTCACCACGTGGACAAGCCTGATGCCCCCTTCTGGGGGCCACTGGCCATCCGCAGGGCCCTCCTTCCCTCAGTGGCCCCGCCAACCTGCCCCTTCTTCCCTGGCCCTGAGGCTCTGGTCAGAGGACTGGCAGTGAAGCCGGGAGAGGATGGTGCTGACAGCAGAGCGGCTACTTCCAGGCTGCCCCTTCAGTAATGGCACTGGCCCCAAGGCACAGGTGAGCTGCAGATCCCAGGCTCCTCCCCCGCTTGTGAGGAAGATGAGCTAATGAGCCAGTGGGGAGGGAGCGGGGCTGGGACCTCAGGGACCTTGGCTCCTTTCAAGAATCCCAGAACCTTCCACAGGCTTCCTAGGTTTCGATAGCAACCATTTCCAGGGGGACACAGCCACCACCCTGGAGACTCGGAGGGAAGGACTAGAGGGAGGGACAGGCTGGCCCCCTAGGACTCTAGCGCGATTCAGGTCTGGCCCCGCCCAGGCCATTTTGTGAGGCTTCCCTTGGTCACATGACCCGACACACATGACCGCCAGTTCCCGTCTGCGGAGCTAGATATGGGTCCCCAGGAGGGGGACACAGTGTGCCCCAGGGCTGGTCCCTCTGTCCTGCTGCTAGGCCTGGTGCTGCTTAGCCTCGGGGCTGCCCAGCCCTCCAGGACCCTGGCTGCCCGTCACAGCGCTGACCCCAAGTTCCGGGAGTACTACTTTGAGCAGGTCCTAGACCACTTCAACTTCGAGAGCTTCGGCAACAAGACCTTCAGTCAGCGATTCCTGGTGTCAGGTGGGCCTGCCCCCGGACCCCTGTCCTCCATGGTCCTGCGGCTCCGGCCTCACCACCCTGCCTCCCCACAGACAAGTTCTGGAGGCAGTCTGAGGGCCCTATCTTCTTCTACACGGGGAATGAGGGCGATGTGTGGGTCTTCGCCAACAACTCAGGCTTCCTGGTGGAGCTGGCACAGCAGCAGGAGGCCCTGCTTGTCTTTGCGGAGCATGTGAGTCCCTGGCTGGTCCTGGGGGACCACGGGGCTGGGGATCCAAGCGGCTGGCACAGGGTCAGCTGTCCCTCCTTGTGCCCACAGCGGTACTACGGGAAGTCGCTCCCATTCGGCGCACAGTCCACGCAGCGTGGGTACCTGAGGCTGCTGACCGTGGAGCAGGCACTGGCCGACTTTGCCGTGTTGCTGCAGGCCCTGCGGCGGGACCTCGGTGCCCAGGATGCCCCCACCATCGCCTTCGGAGGGAGGTGGGTCCTTGGTTTCCCCTGGGTCAGAGGGCACCTAGCCTTGCCTCTTCCTCCTGGCTTCCCTGCGAGGTTCCAGAGCCCCATCTAAACCAGGTGGGTCTGCAGAGTGGCCCCATCCAGCCCGCACCCCTCTGCCACCTCTCCCTAACCTCTCCTGGTGTAGTGCAGGCCACATGCCACCTCCTCTGGGAAGCCCTCCAGTTCTTCTAGGGCAAAGCTGTGCTGGAAGCACTTCCCAGGAGACCCGCCCACCTCGGCCTCATGGGTCCTCCCACTGCCCAGCCTCCTCCCAAGCTCTGGGCAGAATCCGTATGTGGTTCTGGTGGTTTCAGTTCCTCCTTTTGGCACCTGTGACCTGAGGTGGGAAAGGGGAAGCAGGTGCTGGGACCCTTAGCTTTGGGGGCCTCTTCCCTTGGCCAGCTATGGGGGGATGCTTAGCGCCTACATGAGGATGAAGTACCCCCACCTGGTGGCAGGGGCGCTGGCGGCCAGCGCACCCGTTGTAGCTGTCTCAGGCCATGGCGACTCCTACCAGTTCTTCCGGGATGTCACGTTGGTGAGTGAGGAACTGGGGGTCTCCCAGGCCAGCCCAGGTGGGTGCTATAGCAACTGCTGTATCCTCCCCAGGACTTCTATAAGCAGAGCCCCAAATGTGCCCAGGGTGTACGTGATGCTTTCCAGCAGATCAGGGACCTGTTCCTGCAGGGAGGTGAGACTGGTCCACCCATGCCTGCCTGCCCACACCTGCTGTCCCACAACTGCCCACAGCCGGTAGCTCTGCCCTTTCCCTGCAGCCTATGATAGGATTAGCCAAGAGTTTGGCACCTGCCAGTCACTCTCAGGCCTGCAGGACTTGACGCAGCTCTTTGTGTTTGCACGGAATGCCTTCACCGTGCTGGCCATGATGGACTACCCATACCCAACTGACTTCCTGGTGTACCTGCCCGCCAACCCTGTCAAGGCAAGGTCCCTTCCCTGGGGAGGCTGCTGCAGGCCTGGCCCTGGGCCATGGCAGGCTCTCCCCCCTGTACCCCACTGGTTGGCAGCCCCAGCCCTCCTCCTGGGAAAAGCCAGGGTGGAACTGGCAGGGTGCTCAACTCAGGTGTGCTGTGTCGTTCCAACCCAGGTTGGCTGTGACCGGCTGCTGAGTGAGGCCCAGAGGATCACGGGGCTTCGAAGTCTGGCAGGTGGGTCAGCCCCATGTGGCACTGGTGGGGACTTGGGGGTGAGGACCCGAAGCCCTGGCTGTGCTCTGTGGGCCCCAAACCCCTCCGGGCTGCCTGGGGTTCGGGCTGGGCCAGCACAGATCAAATGTAGTGGCCCCCCCTACAGGAAGGAAGACATCAGGTCCCACTCAGCTGCCCTGGCTGCCAGGCTAGGGTTGATGGCAGAGCCCAGGGACTTTCTTCACAGGCACACAAAAGGGACCCGGGTCCACCCCATACAAGTTCTTCCAAGCGGGGGAGATTAGGGGCTGCTGTCCCATACCCCTCGTCCCCAGGGCTGGTCTACAATGCCTCAGGCACAGAGCGCTGTTATGACATCTACCAGCTGTACCACAGCTGTGCTGACCCCACTGGCTGTGGCACTGGCTCCGATGCCCAAGCCTGGGACTACCAGGTAGGCTTGGGTAACCTGGGCTGCTAAGGGCAGGGTGGGGGAAGCGTCCCATCACCTGACCTCACATGGCAACCCACAGGCCTGCACAGAAATTAACCTGACATTCAACAGCAACAACATGACCGACATGTTCCCTGCGCTCCTGTTCACCGAGGAGCTCCGCCAGCAGTACTGTCTGGACAAGTGGGGCGTGTGGCCCCGGCCTGACTGGCTGCAGACCAGCTTTGGGGGTGGAAGTAAGGCTGCAGCATCCTGTTCTCTGCCAGTGCAAGCTCTGCCCCACTCAGCTTTGGGCACACACTGGTCCCTCACTACCCTTCTGTGTTCTTTTTAGACATCAAGGATGCCAGCAACATCATCTTCTCCAATGGTGACCTGGACCCCTGGGCCGGTGGTGGGGTGAGGAGTCTTGGCTGGCAGTGGCCGGGGATCTGGGTGGTCCCGTCCAAGGTTCCCCACCACCAGAACCTCTCAAAACTCTCTCTGCCTTTGCCACGTGTGTGCTGGTTGTTATCTGTTCTGCTCTAAGCCTCCTGACTTCCTCCCAATTTTTCCTGACATCTGGCCCTATGACCTTCTTTGCTTTCCACTGGGACCTTTGAGGCTTCACGGTTGCCCCAAGTTACTATGCTTCAGCTGCACCCTGGTGGGTGGGAAGGGGGCTGCAGTGGGCCTGGTGGAGCCCAGAGCACTGGCCCCACCTGACGGGAGGTCCCTCTTGCTGTCCACAGATACAGAGGAACCTCAGTGCATCTGTGGTCGCCGTCACCATCCGGGGCGGAGCACATCACCTGGACCTCAGGTGCAGTGAAGCAACCCCTCTTGTCCTTCTTCTGAGCTGGGCTGCAGGCTGGGCTGGGCTGAGCTGGGCAGGAGGGGCTCAGGTGTCCCTCACAGGGCTCAGGGGACACCTGCTGCCCCGCAGAGCATCTCAGCCAGAGGACCCTGAATCTGTCGTGGAGGTGCGCAGGCTGGAGGCCAGCCTCATCCGGGAGTGGGTAAAGGCGGCCAGGTGTGAGTGGCAGCCTGTGCCACATGGGGGACCTGGGGCGGAAAGGCAGTAGCCCCCACCGTGAGGCCAGCAGGCCTGAGGGGAGCACTTCAGAGTTCCCGTGGATCACAGTGACCACCCCAGTGCAGGGCCTCTGAGCACAGGGGCAGACAGCAGGGTGGACACCTAGGGCCAGGCTGGATGTACCTTTCTTGTCCCATCAAGGCCCACAGGAGGGAGCACAACGCTGTACACAGCCCGAGACCAATAAACATTTAATAAAGCACAGATTCCTCGATGCTGAGATCAGTATTTAGAGTGACGACAGAATTTGCCCTTTCCGCCCCGGGATGGCACTCTGCACGGGGCAGAAGGAACACCAAAGCTACACCGTGCCCAGCATAGCTCACTGCACAGCAGATGAGCTCTTCAGTTGGTCCCTGGCCCCCAGGACAGCTGCTGAGCCGTGGCCTCAGTCAGCTCTGCCCTCCACAACACACCTGCAAGGGAGGCTGGGTACGGGAGGAGTTTGCTCCTCAGCTGCCCACCCTCAAGCCCATGCGCCTGGCCTAGGAGAGCAGCACCCCACATGGGAAGGGCCTGAGGACACGTGTGGTCCTTCCCCGTGAACACCACTGGGGACAGGAGTCTCAGAGGAGGCCCCTGGGTACCTGCTGTCCTAGGAGAGAACAGGGCTGCCACCTGGATCCAGGCCAGAAGACAGGTCCTGCCCACCTTGGGAGCTGGCTCTCGAGGGCTATGTGGCGCAAAGACCTGGAGGCCCTGTTCCAGGGCTCTCCCGTGTGCTGCCTGTGCTCTACATTTCCAGGGAAAGCGACCTCCCCAACCACAGGCTGCTCAGGGGCTACACAGGAGTGGAGCCACGCTGCCCCAAGGGTGCCCTGGCCTGGGAGCCAGATGAGCCCCAGGATGACAACACTGTCCCAGCAGGCAGGACAAGGACCACACGAAGGCACAAAGACCTCACTCCAGGCAGGGCATGGCACAGGTGCCACCTGCCCTGGCCACAGGGTGCTACCCAAGGCGAGGGTCCTCCCCTGCTGCAGGAAGCAGCCCCATGTGTGAGACAGGATGATAGGCCTCCGCAGGCCTCTTCCTGCCTGCAGGGAAGCCTCCTTTCCAGGCACTGTCACAGGCAGAGCGAGCTGACCTTATCTCAGTCAGGAAGTCCCATTCCCACCCGGCAGCCTGGGCCCTGAAGAGCAGCCAGGAGGATCCCTGAGTCCAACATGTAAATACCACAGCAGGCCACAGCAGCCTGACCCTCAGTCAGAACTCCCCTAAGCTCTGTTGGCCATGGTCCAGCTGCCCCACATGCTGCTTCTCAGCTTCTCTCAGAATGCAAGAGGCCGGAGCAGCCCACAGCCACCATGGGACCATTGTGGCTCCCTGCACTAAGCCACAAATGTTCAGGGGTCAGGAGTTGTGATTTGAGTGTTGTTGAAGGAGGCAGAGGTTCCTGTGGTCTGGAAACCCTGAACCCATGCCTGCTGACAAGGGCAGAGACAACAGCCGGGCCAGGGCAGGCACACAGGGATGCTCAGCCGCTGCCCACCGTCTCCACACCCAAGGGCCTTCCCAACAGACCGAGGCCAGGAGCTTCCCCTAGGCAGCGCTCCAGATGGGCAGGGGATGAGCCTCAGTGTTGAACACATAGTGGTCCAGGCTGAGCAGGTCTGGGTCATCAGAAAACAGCAGGTAGAGGTACTTGAGCGTCTCACCCAGGAAGAAGCTCTCCATCTTGTCTCTGGGATCTGGCTTGTGGATGCTCTGGACGTTGTTGATGGAAGAATAGCCACCCGAGCGGACCTGCAGGAGAGCCCAGGCCCCCACACTCAGGGATGGCCCTTGGGGGAGCCACACCCAGCTCCTACCCCATCATGGCATGTGTGACCTCCCCAGGGCAGGTAGAGTGCCCGGGACGAGGGGTCTCCAGGGCCCAGTGCCTCATGCTGGCTGGGAGAGGGCAATCTCTGCTGGAGGAAGCCCATGCCCAGGTCAGTAGGCAGAGAGCCAGGGGCTGGGGCTGGGCATGTCTGGCTGCATGGTGGTGACCAAGAGTTGGGCCAGGCACAGCATTTCCTGGATCATATGCCTTGTAAACAGTGGGCAACAAGTGTGGGTTGGAGGGGGGACCCCTCCCAGAAAGGCATGGCCAGCAACCAGGCACAGTGGACCCCATACCACCAACCACCACCAGGCTGTGCATGGCTGAGGTGCAACCAGAGGCCAGGCCTTCCCTGCCTGTGCAGCGGCACCCCAGGGTACACTCGCCTGAGCCCTGTGGCACCCAGCCGTGCTGCAGCCGTCACCTGTGACTGTGTCCCAGTGCTCACCCGAGTGTACTTGTTGAAGCTCTGCAGGATCCCCCAGCCCCAGTCCTGGTACTTGCGGTCCCCCGTCAGGCGGTACAGGTAGAACAGGCTCTCTACAGTCTCAGGGCGCAGCAGGTTGTGCCTGTCAGCTGGCTAGGGGAAGAGGGGACACAGGGTACAGCCACCCGCTCCGGCGCCACCCTCACCGGAGGGCAGCCCCCCGCTCACCTTGACTATCACGTCTTTCAGGTCAGCCTGGAAGAAGGTGTTGAAGTGGGCGATCTCTGGGCTCAGCCCTGTCTCCATCTGGTGGTTCATCTGGTAGCAGGTCTCCATGAGCGCCAGGGCCAGCTCCATGTGCTCGGCAGGCAGGCCGTGGTGGACGCCCAGGGCCAGCGTCCCTGGCAGGAAGCACACCAGGTGGTCCTGGAATCAGAGGGTCTCCTCACAGCTGGACCCAGGTCCACAGCACTCGCCAGCTCAGCCCACACTCCCAGGGGAACGTGCCCCCAGCAGGGGCAGGGGCAGCAGGTGGATGGGGGCCCAGGCTCAGCACCCCCTCCCCTGGGCCTCCTGCCAGTGCCCCTTCCACTACTGCTGCCTGCTGGGCACCTGAAGGAGCCCTGAAGGGAGAAGAGATGGCCTGGTGTGGGGAGGTCCCAGGTCTCCCTGGCTGTTCAGCAAGGTCTCAGCCAGAGACAAGGTGCACAGCAAATGTCCACCCCAACATGCTCACTTCCCTTGGCCCGAGTTCCTTGTTCTTTCTAACACACAGACTCAGGAGCCTTGGAAGCCACCAAGAAAGGCCCTACCAGCCCAGCCCACACGACTCACCATCTTGGCACTGAAACGGCCATGGGCGAGCTCCCCAACGAAGATGAACTTCCCAGGCTCGGAGCGCCGCAGCAAGTGCGCTTTGATCCCCTCGATGGCCGTGAGGTAGTCCTCCAGCAGCCTGTGGTACCAGCGAGTCAGCTGTGCACGACCTCCTCAGGAGTGCAGGCAGGAGCCTCGCCAAGCCACCCACTCACAAGGACAGACAGCAACGCATGGCCCAGGACCCCACGCCCCACGAGGGCATGGTGGGGATACATCCACACCCAACCTGCACGGCTGCAGGTCCCCGACAAAGCAGGCACAGAAGGAGCAGGGAACCTGGCCTACGGGCAGCGGAAATGGCCTCACTGTGTCTCGGTCTTCCCGCCCTGGATCCACTGCTTCAGCAGGTACTCATAGTAGCTGTCAGCCCTGGCGCCCAAGGTGAACACACCCGGGTGGGTGAAGAGACCGCTGTGTGTGTTGATGAACATGGGCACCAGCCCATCCTTCTTCCCAGACAGGGAGTGGATGTGCCTCGTCACGTTCTCCACGGCCTCCTGTGGCAGGGGAAGGGCTGCTGGGGGAAGCCTTCTCAAACATCCGCACAAAGCTCCCTCACACAGTCCACGAGACCAGCACCATCCCTGTCTCAGAGCCGCACGAGAACCCTGTACCAAGCTGCCCGAGAACACCAAGCAGAAGCCTCAGCCAAACGCTTGTGCATAGGCCCTGGCGTCCCTCCCCAGCCACCCAGAGGGGATGAACCCAAATGATGTTCCTCCAGAGAGGATACACACAAGAGAGACACTCAACATCACTACTGCAGGAAAAGGTGTCAAAACCACCGTGAGATGTCACCTCACACCATGAGGCTGGCTACCATGAAAAAGCAGAAAATAACAAGAGTTGTCGGGGGTATGGAGAAATAGGATGCTTCCTACACTGTGGATGGCAACGCAGAATGGCACAACCATACAGGAAAACATGCTGGCTGTCCAAAAGAGTCACACACAGAACTACCCCCGACTCAGCCAGTCTGGGTCTAGGTCCAGAGCCTGAAGAACTGAAAGCCTCCTCACGAAGCTATCTATCGTACACCCGACTGCGAGCAGCCTTATTCACCAGAGCTGGGACCGAAAACAGCCCATGAGGGGTGAACAGATGAGCACGAGGTCCTCCCCATGACAGGGACAGAGGCCAGCACCTCAATGCCACAGCAACGTGGACAAAGGTGCCAGACATCAAAGGACCAACGCTGCATGACTCCACTCTCAAAGGACCCAGCAAAAAATGACACAGGGACTGTAGGCCGGAAGAGGAATCTGGGTTTCTGTTTAACAGGGGTGCTTGGTTTCACACAACGAAGGGAGCTGTGCAGGTGGCTGGTGACGATGACCACACAACATTATAGTGTATTTAATGCCAATGAACCACACAACAAAAAATGGTTAAGATGGTCAATTTTGCATTTGTTTTCCTATGGTGAAAAAACAACAAAGGAGATCACAGTGAGTTCCAGGTCAGTCTCAATTACATAGTGAGACCCTATCTCAAAAAACAAAAACAACACAACAACAAAGGCGAGATTAACACACACATTGCACTGTACTCGCAACGTGGACAGGTTAGTTCCCTTGGGAACTGTGTCCAGCTGGAAATGTGACCTCTTACCCGGAATTTCTTAATCCCCGTGAGACGAGAAAGCTCCCGGAACTCCAGCTGAATGCTTGTCACCTCGGCCACCGTGCTATCTGAAGTCCAGCGGGGTGGATGGGCGACTCCAGTGCCGATGTTCACATCTGAGTATGGGATCTTGGAAGGCGTGGCAAAGGCAGGCATCAGCCGGTTTCCAAAGTCTTCCTGGCATAAAAGCACAGCAGAGAATCAAGGGCCTCCTCCTCACTTCTGCCTCAGTGGGGAGGCCTGGTAGCACCCCAGCCCCACAGGCAGCGAACAAGCTGCACGCCAGCAGTACTGGGCAGCTCTCCTAAGGGCACCACGGAGGGAGAAGGTGGGCTCACCCGCGAACTGAAGAGCCAGAGGCATTTAGAGAAAAAGCCCTCGGCCAGAGCAGGAGACACTCACGGCTTTCCTCAGGAAGAGGCTGTCCCCTGACAGGTGGTAAGTACTCAGCAGGGCCCCCAGGAGGCGAATGGTGCTCTCAAACAGGTTGACGTCCACATCTTTCTCAAAGTTCAGCTTCGCTGACACCCACTGCCTAGCTTCTTCAAATTCTGTGACAAGAGTGGCACTTCAGGAGCAGACTTGTGACCTCTCCCTCTCTCCCAGGACAGACCCATCCTCCACGTGCCTCCTGGAGAGACGTGTCCCTGCAGGATGTCAGGGCCCTGTCCACCTGGGGGTGACCCAGAGGCCATCACCGCGCAGGCGAACAAGGCAGCATAGCAGCCCTGGGAGCACAGGCGGCCCCACAAGCACTGTCACGCAATAGCCGAGCGAGGTATTGGTGGCCCTCAAGCTATTAAGCCACCAAGTGTTTTACTACCGATTCTGGAGCAACGAGACAGTCTCCCCAGTTAACTGGACTGGGGACCTTGAGGAAACCACCGAGACTGGGGCCAGCATGAGCCCACATCAGGCCTCCTGCCCCCCTGCAGAATGGGATGGAGACATTTCCTGGACAGCCTACCACATCCACCCTCAGCTTTCCAGGAGGCCAGGGAACATCTGTTCAAAGTGGGCCCCGGACAGCAGACACAAAACCAGATCCTGACCACACCAAGCACATGCACGTCCACGTCCAAGAGAAGGCACAACTCGTGGCTGAAAGAAAATAGCAGCCCCATGCTGCTCGGGATCCAACTCACTAGTACCTTTTTTCAGACCCAGAATCCACATGGTATCCAGGGCATCAATCAGGGTGAGGCCCAGGCCAAACCACTCAGTGAAGGACCTGGACACCGGCTTCAGCTCGTCGTGGCCCCAAGAGAATTTGCGGTACCCCTTCCATGCGTGGAGGAAGGCCTCGATCACCCCCTTCTGGCGCGCATTCTGGGGGCCTGGAGGGGAGAGCAAAGCAGTGGGGATGTGGCCCATCTTTCAGGACACAGGAGACCCTCCTGGCTGGGCCCTTCTATGGTCCCAGGTGAGCAAGGTGGAAAGGACATGGCGGAGTGACATGTGGAGCAGAAAGGCAGGGAGAACTGCAGCAGAGCAGTGACACCAGAGACTGAGGGGCTGCAGTGGGGCCTCAAGCGTGCCAAAAGCAGTGAGGCCTCCCCAACACGGTGCACACAGAAATTACTCCTTTCAGGCCATGGGGGTATCTGGTCAAGGGGGATGGGCACCATCCCACAATGCAGAACAAAGCAGCGTATAGCTCACAGCACCTCACAAACAGGGAGCTGGGAGCTACTAATGGCACAGGAGCAGCAAGCAGGTCCTTGGCCGTACACCTGTCCTGCCCACTTGTGCTGACACTGGGGTCCCTGGGAAGCTTGGTCTTCATCCAGCTGGCGAGGTGTGTGTGTCACACCATACGCCTTCCCACCAGGTAAGGACCCCGTCCACAGCCACAGGTTGGCCCGGCCACTCCTACAGCCAGAGCCACCTTGATGTGTCCCTGCTATGCTGCCCACAAGCCTGAGGAGGTGGCGGCAGCACCAGCACAGCAGGTACCACTCAAGGGTGTTCCCTGGCTGCAGAGCAGGGACACAGACGCACTTTCCCCTCAAAGGGTGTCACGAGAACTGAAGGCCAGGCATGCATAGAGCTGCCTCGCAGGGACCCATTGGGCACAGGGGTAAATGGACACAGGGAAGGACAGCCACATGACCAGGGATCCCACAGTGCAAACTGGCTCAAGCATGGAGCCCTGAAATCAAACTTTAGAACCTAGCACAGGCAGCAGTAAACCTCCTGCCACTGGGTGCTCAGACCAGGGCCAGAGCTGCTCAGAGAGGCCAAGGGGCAAGTGGCACAGGCTGGGCTTATGCCCAGGGAGGCTAGGCAGCAGAGGGGCCTCACCAGGGTCCTTCTGCATCCTGACTGCTGGCGCGGAAGGCATGGTGGGGGCGGCTGCTCTTCTTGAAGGGTGCTCAGTGCCCTGCTCAGGCTCGATCACTGCCCCTCGCCAGCTGCAGGAGAGGAGGAGGTTTTCAGGGCTCCTACCTCGATGCACCCCAATCCTGTGCCCAGTTCCAACCCTGAAGGTGCAATGGCCACAGATAGGTGGGGAAACAGGCAAAGTCAGTCAGTCCTGATGCCCTCTAGCAAAGGCCTCTGCCTGTGGAGAAGACACCCAGGCTGCTCCAGACACAGGGGACCCTGAGGTCAGAGACCAGGGCACAAAGAATCCAAGAACTAGACCATGGGGCTCAGGAAAAGTGACACCACAGAGGGAAGAGATGGCCCAAGATGAGGGCTTCTAATCTGTGACCACTTTGCACACTGTCCAAATCCAGTGTGGAGGTCCCTCACTGTGGAGGTCCCTGCCTCAGTTCTGTTCCATGCCAGCCGACGGGAGGGGCAGAGGCCTCGCTGCAGAACTCCCAGTGGAGGCTGAGCCACGGGGCCTCGCGAAAAGCCTGAGCTGGCTCGGTCCCAGCCCAGCCAGATGCATCCTACCTCCACAGGAGCCCACGTCTTGGGTGGGGAGCATGGCGCCCCAGTGGCCAAGTGCCCTTGCCTCTGGAAGTTGCCCCTTCCTTCCCCGGACAGGGTGAGGCTCCCCAGGGATGTGCCCATGCCCCAACTCACACGCTCCCAATGAGGCCCCCAAGCCAGTCCCTGCCCCAACCCAGCCTGTCAGGGACACTGCTCAGGAGCAGAGCTTCCAGGATGGACCCACTGAGAGGCTGCATGGCTGGGCCTGGCTGCAGGGAACCCAGCCCTGTGCCTCAGTCATGACTGCGCCCAAGAAACACCAAGCAGGAAATGTGACTGGAGCCTCTGGTGGCACCTGTGGGACGCTGTGCCCTGGACACCTGACAGGCTGGCAGGGCTCAGTGCCCAGCCCCTCCCGCTTTGCTCACTGCCTGGCCAAAAGGGACACAGGAGGGTGGGGCTGCCAGGTAGTTGTCCATCCCACACCTGCCACATGGGAAAGGCCTGAGCTCACTTCCATCCCCAGCTCTGTCCCTCAGGACTCCCACATCAGAGCCCCAATCCCAGAGAGCTGTGCCCACTGGGAACAGGAGTCACAGACTGGAATGGCTCTGACCTCCAGTCTTAGAAATGTGACTGCGTGCCAGGTGTGGTGGCACATACCTGCAATCCCAGCATTTGGGAGGCTGAGGCAGAAGGATTGCCAGGAGTTCAAGGCTACATAGAACTACATAGTGAGACCCTGTCTCAAAGAAAGAGATGTGACTGTGTAATCAAATCTTAATGAAGACAATTTTAGAAAACACTCTGTCTCCAGAGGGAAGTATGGCACAGAGAAGATGTCAGGTCTGTTTGTGGAAACCCCGAGGCTGGCCTGTCACTGAACAGTCAGACCCATTCTGGGCACCTCGCCCTCAGTACCTGATGACTGTGCGCTGTGGTGTTTCTTCCTGGTGAGTGTCCCCTGGGGTGGCCACCTGCTCCTGGGCCTCACCCTGAATCCCATCCTTGGAGTCTATGTTGGGGGCTCTGATCTGCAGATGGGGGGGTCTCCGCCGGATATGCTTTCGAGGTTTCTGGTCAAAAATCAGAGTCACAGATGAGAACACCTCACCTGCTCACAGGTGGTGCTTCTTTGCAGACCCAGGACTTTCTCCTCCCGTCCCTGCCCACCCGGGACAGAGCCAGGGACCTGCATGTAACCCCTGATCCTGGGAACAGCTTCACTTTAAACAGGGTTGTAGGGGTGGGAGGCCAGCTCCTTAGGAGCGCGGACCACGCCAGCTGGCTGTTATGGGCCTGGACAAAGGGCGGGATGGGAGAGTTCAATACTGCCACAAAGCCTGCAGCGGAGGAAGAACAGTAAGGGCAAAGACCTCATGAATGGGAGGCAGGAGACTCATAGCCTCAGCCCAGAAGCCAGCAGAGCCACAACTCTCCATCCCAGACAGCAGGGATGTCCTCACAGAGCAAGGCCCCTGCATCCACCCTGCGACAGGGCTGCCAACAGGCTCAGTGGCATCCCACCCTTTTCTCAGGACATCCACAGCAGGACCACCCTTGGCTTATCTGTGAGTGGCGAGAGAAACCTCAGGAGACAAGTGACGTACACTACAGTAACCCATGGCGCAGAAACCCGGCTGTTGGACAAGCCTGATGAAAGACGCTACAGTGTGCAACGAGAATCCAGACGTACACCCCACAGATGCTAAACCCTCATGTGTGCACACATGTGCATCCACACACAAGTAGGAACCAACATGCTACAGTGTGCAATGAGAGTCCAGACGTACAGCCCACAGATGCTAAACCCTCATGTGTGCACACATGTGCATCCACACACAAGTAGGAACCAACACGCTACAGTGTGCAACGAGAATCCAGACGTACACCCCACAGATGCTAAACCCTCACGTGTGCACACATGTGCATCCACACACAAGTAGGAACCAACACGCTACAGTGTGCAACGAGAATCCAGACGTACACCCTCACAGATGCTAAACCCTCATGTGTGCACACATGTGCATCCACACACAAGCAGAAACCAACATGCTACGTGCTTCAGAGTGGCCTCGAGGACCTGCCAAGCCCTCCGGAAGAACCAGCCTGTACATAGAGACCCTCATCTGAGACAGGCTCTCCCATCTGCAGTGGTGCACAGTGGCCCAGCAGACCCTGAGCACCACATGCTGTGGGCTGGCACTGTCCTGGCCTTTCCAATCCCAGACTCTGCCACCCCAGCGCCAACCAGATGTTGCTCAGCTGCACAGATGCTGCTTTTCACAGCAGGACGTGGCTTGCTGGGTAGCCCCTGTAGCTTCCTCCTGCTGCTCTGCACTTCCTGTCACCTAGGTGAAACATCCAGCAATCTGAAGACAAGAGCATCTCTCAATGCTCGCTTCAGCAGCACATATACTAAAACAGCATCTCTCAGGCAGAAAGAATACAACACTCCATCTAAAGGGATGGGTGGCCTCAAGCTCACTTACCAACTCTCCTTGCTTGGGCCCCTGGCCAATGATCAGAGGCTGAGCCACTCGCAGTCTGGGAGCCATTCTGAGAGCAGCTTCCTCCAGCTGCACTCAGCAGGATGTGAAACTTCCACCTGGCACCTAGGACTTGGCTGCCAAGGAAAGCCCTGGGGCCACATCAGCTGGGCATACTCGGGTCGTGTGGATAGTAGTGACTGATACCCAAAGGCCCAAGGGTGCGCAGCAGCCTCTTAATTGGCACCTGCTCCATCCCCAGCCTGCTCCCACTGGACATGCATGCTGGTGGCTCTCTTGCTCCCTCTGTCTGATGCTGGACTCCACGCTTTGCTCTCTGCCTGGCAGGGACTCAGAATGTCCCAGCCTGGCACCCCAGGCCTGGCCCTGGCCCTGGCCCTCCTCCACTCTTGCTAGACAACACACACCATCTCTACTGGGGACCCTGGCACCACTTCCCCACAGGTGGCCCCCGCTGCCTCCAAGGCACTGCCAAAGAAGCAGAGCCCAACAGCATCTCCATGTCTCTAGACCCTTCCCACAGCCCTCACCTTGCCCAGGGACCCTCCCTCTGTCCACCTCCCATCACCCTGTCCTGCAGTGTCCCACTACCACCAGGGTCCCCAGGGCGTGCACAGCCTCGTTCTCCCTTCGTCCTGCCCTCCTCTCCTGAGGCCCCAGCATTGCATCCCCACCCCGCCTCCTGGCTTCAAGACAACACACAGGAGTATCCTTGCCAAGTTTCTGCCACCTCAGGAGACACCTCCATGCTGCTCACACCTCCTCAGACACCTGCTTCTTAGCTCAGCCCTGTGGGAATTTCACTCTCAGAAATACATTTCCTGCTTCTCCTTGCTTGAGTAGTGTCAGGAGCTTAGTCCTGCTCTGCCCATCCTGATCACAAATGGGCTTCTCAGCCTGCAGGTGCTATCCTCAGGGGGTTGCCTCAGCCCAAAGCACCCACTCCCTTCCTGCCTCCTGCCCTTCCGATTCACCACCTGCAGCTTATGCTGCCAACCTGATTCTGTGTGTTGCTGGCCCCTCACTGACTTTCCTCCCAGCCTATGGCACCTACACAAGAGAAAGATCTTCATCACTATGCGGTAAACACCTAACACAGGAGCCAGTCACAGTGGATGTCCAGATAACAGAGGTGACTATGCCTCTCTCCTCCCCAGTGCTCAGGTAGCGAGTCCAGGATGAGGCAAGTGAGAGGAAACAGGCAGTATGTGGTAGGAGAGGAACTGTGCTCGGCCTCCCTGAACAGTACCAACCAGAATGCCTAGCCCAGAGCCTGGTGAGACTCAGAGTGCTAATTGCAGGTACCTGAGGCAACATCGTGGGCTTATCCTCTGGGTTGGTGTCTGCCTTCCGAGGAGCTGGTAAGACGGGTGGGTTTGCTGGTTTCTGTCCTGTCATTTCCACCCTCAGCCTCTGCCCTTCTGTGGGGCTGCCACCTAGAACTGCAGAGAGAACCCTTCATCTCAACACCAGCCCTGGGGAGGCTTAACCTGTTCTCTGAGAGAAGGTAACCGAGGGAGCCTCTCAGAAGTCACTGGATTTGAGAATGGCCAGAAGGAATCAAATATTTTCCAAAGCCGTTGTGGTGTGTCCCTACCATTACACCCACACACACTTCCCTCAATAGTCTGTTCCAGAGAGCACAAAATGGTGCCAAACAGGCAGTCTTTCTGCATGACCTGCAGAGCTGTGTGGCTCTCCCCAAGTGGCAACCATCTTAGAGAAATTCAAGAGAGACTCTGTCATCCCCAGAAATCTGCTGGGCTTTCCCAACACTGGGCAATGGTGCTAGGTGCTACGGCTGTACTGGAATGGTCAGGACTCAGTGTTCAAGCTCACGCCTGACATTCTCTGAAGGAGAGAGGCCAGGGACAGCAATGCTGACACCAGATACCAGAGAGCACCATTACAGCTCTGTGCCACCACCAGGTGGTTGTACACCGCTCTCTCTTCCTACCTCACTGCATTTCCGCCACCTTGTTGCCACATATGCCTCCTGGAGCTGTTAATAGTGGACTTTGTGATCGCAACTGCCCTCAGCCCAAGTATCCTTCCGTGCCACTGGTGCCTCTGTTACCTTTCCACCGGTCCGCCATGTGGGTATAGGACAGGAATGCACAGAGAACCAACAAGGCCAACAGGAAGAGAATCACGTTCCGCTGTAACCGCGACAGCTGCTTCCATTTCTAGGGAATGGTCAGAGAATGACATTTCTTACTGGAAACAGGACAACTGAACCTCTTTCACTATCTCAGATTCAGGGAGGGCAGCAGGTTCTTCAGAAAGATAAATTCAGGGTCAGCAGGATTTGCCTGGGCATTGCAGAATGATCCCCGTGATGATCCCGCGATCCCCGTGATCTGGCCCCAGGCCGACTCCGCCGGGCATATGCCCTACTTTGCATCCGTGCCCTTCAGCCTGCACTACCACGAACACCCCATCCGGTAACTAAGTGGGGCGCATTACTCGTTATACTGAAGGACCCAGGGTCACCGCGTCAGGGACTTCGGAGGACCGGAGACCCGGGGCCCGCGCAGCGCCCACTCCCGGAGGAGCACCACCCCTGCCTCACCCTCAAGCACGAGCGCCGCCGCCGGCTCTTGTTGTTATCGTAGCTCTCGCCCAAACTCAGCGTCACCGAGATGAAGTCCCGGTGAGGCGCCGGCGGCGGCGGGGGGTACATGGCGACTTTGCCGGCCTTCGAGAGCTCGCTCCCTTGTGACTTCAGGGAGCCAGAGTCTGAGGCGGATAGAGGGTAGCCATCGTTGTACTGTCCACACCCCGCCCATGGCCTTGCACACGACTGCACATGCGCCCCTCCTTCCGCTAGTCATTGCGCACGCGCTCCGTTCTCCACGTCCCTCTGCGCGTGCGCCTCACTCCACTGCGCAAGGTGCGCACGTTTCCGACGCACGTCTCCTACGTATTGAACGTCGTTTCGCCTTCCTAGCGCGCGACTTTGCCTGAGTCGGGTTTCCTGGTAACGCGTAGTGTCAGTCCCGTGCTTCCTGGCCGGGTGTCTTCTGTACCCTGCATTGCACGCCCTGCGCCCCACCTTGTGTTCTGAGGCACCCGCTGGCTCGCGCCCTCCTAGGAGACGCGGACTCTGGGGACGGCGGCCGGGGCCTTCTGTTTCCTCCTCGTCTGTACGGAGCGCCGCTGCCGTCCCGCGGCGGTGACCCGGGAGCAGGCGGGGCTACCTGGGCTAGCGGGTAACCCCCGGGCGGGCGAGGCCAGTGCGGGGCCCAGGCAAGATCCGCCGCCGCTGCGCTCAGGCTCCTGCATGTCCGAATTCATCACGCTGTGCTCTGTGCCTGGTCCCCAAGACCCCGCCACGGGCGCCAACGGGTTCGGCTGAATCCGCGCAGACCTCCCGCCTCGCCCCTTCCCTGGTCCCGGTGAGGGGTCCACGGTCTCTTTCCACGTACAACTCTGCACGACCTTGTGAGGCCCGCGGACGCCGCTGCCCGAGTCCCCGGGAGACCGTGGCGCCAGAGGTGCGCGTGCAGGTGGCCCAGTCCCCGCCACCCGTGGGCTTCTGAGCAACTGCACCCGCCAGGGAGGGTCATCCAGGGCTCCCGAGTTTATTCCGAGGGTCCGTCTGTGGGAGTGAAGATCAGATGGGCGATCTCTAAGTCTGTTTCTCTGGACGCTGTGGGGTCAGGGATGGCGGTGTTACTGTGAAGGGGTGGCCTGAAGGAGAGCTCTGCAGGTGGGGTTCGCTGTGCATCGCCGAGGCGGTGTTGGGAGTGTGAACCGCGAGCGCCGCCTGGGAGCACTGGAGCCGTGTCACAGTCCCAGTCTGTTGTGTCCCGTAATCATGTAAGGTACTGCTATCGTGATAAGTTAGGTGCAGGGTAAGAGGGATCTGCATGGCCTTCGATGACTGCCCAGTGTGAGGTATTGTTACCTCTGAGTTTCTGCAGCCTTGTATTCAGGGCAGAGATTCAGCAACAGCTGCAAAGCTGCACCGCAGCCGTGTAGAACAGCCTCCTACCTGTCCTGAGCTAGGAAGAAACCGCAGCCTGTGGGTTGAGGAAAACAAGATAGCTGGAACAAAAAGGTGGACAGAAGTCAGGAGGCAGCCATTCCTGATGCAGATGCTTCAGGAAGAGTAGCATTAAAATCCTGAGAGTTTCAAGGAGATAGTGCATGTGTATAGCAGTTTGCAAGACAGAACAATATATACTTGGGGAAATAAAAAATACTATTGGCAGCTGAACATGGTGGCGCACGCCTGTAACCCCAGCACTCTGGAGGCTGAGGCAGGAGGATCACCACGAGTTCCAGGCCAGCCTGAACTACATAATGAAACTGTCTCTAAATAAATAATAAGTGCTTTTGCTACTTTGGAAGCAAAGTAGTGAAAATACCTCGCAACCCGGAGCTGCAAAAATGAAAGAAAAGGTTGGAGTGCTGCTCAGACCTCAACGACCGACCGGCAGCGGCACACCTTCCTCTAGTGTGGGCGTTGATTTGGGAAGCTGACGAGGGCTCTGCGTTTTCTACTTCATCCCCCAGGGTCCTCCACTGTGCTCCACAAGGTGGCGTTGGGAGTCCCGGGGGATGGATTAGGAGCGCTCAAGAAGAAAACCTGGAGAGAATATAGGAAGGGGAATTTGGGAGAGCATAATAGACATTTCTTGTAGTTGAAACTCATTTAAGTCCAAGTCAGACTGGACAGATGAACAAGTTCCATTACAACCTTTTCCTCCGAACGTTCAGAATTTCAGTCAGTGAGGGTCTCAGGAATTAAGAGGAAAAATAATGAGCAGGTAGTACTGGGTTTCTCCCCGTATTTCCTGACAGCACGAAGCAGAGCGCCTCTTGCCGAATTCTGAGGGGCAGCGACTGACTCCCTCCCTATAATACTGTTCTTCTTGGGCATGTTTCATTAGTGATTAGTAATTCCAGTCCACCTTCCTTGATGTATAGTATTTCTTTCAAAACGGCAATTAAAACATACACCTAGTAAGAAGACTAAAAAATACATGAGCCAGTCTGTAATTCCAGCACTCTGGGAGGCTGAGGCAGGGTGACCACAAGTTTGAGTCCAGCCTGGACGACTTAGACCCTATCTCAAAAATTTAAAAGGTCTGGGAACGTAGCTCAGGGCAGAGGCCCTGTGTTTAATCCCCAGTATCGTACACACCCAAACGCGTGAACCAGAATTTTACTGGAAGAGAGAAACAGTTCACAAACAATATCTACCAAGTCCCTCAGTAATGTGTAGAACAGCAAAGCAGAATGTCAGCTCAACCAGTGCTAGCACCAGTGGGAGTAGCGCCATCAGTGAGACCCTCCCCAGCCACACAGGCTGCGCGTTCTCTAGTACATAGCTCATTCTTCAGCTCAGACGGCATGCCAGGTCCTAGGTGGATGTAAATAAACTTCAAGAGATTTAAATCATACAGTTTTTGCAGGATAATTTTCACTGCTGGGGATTGAGTCCAGAGAGCACTAAGCTACATCCTCAACCTCTTTTTAGCTTTTCTTATTTATGGAGACAGCATCTTGCCAAGTTACCCAGGCTGCGCGTAGACTTGCAGTCCTCCTTATTGGCTTCCCAAGTAGCTGAGATCCCAGGTGTGTGCTATCATGCCCCACCATGCTTTTTTTTCCTTTGGTACCGGGGATCAAACTCGGGTCCTTGTGCTTGTGAAGCAGGTGGCAGAACCACTGAGCTAAATCCCCAGCCTTCCACCAAACTTTTTAACTACAATGGAATTGAAATAAAGTCAGGCATGGTGGTATATCGAGGCTGAGCCTGGAGGATTAGATCCCAGGTGTGTGCTATCATGCCCCACCATGCTTTTTTTTCCTTTGGTACCGGGGATCAAACTCGGGTCCTTGTGCTTGTGAAGCAGGTGGCAGAACCACTGCTCTAAATCCCCAGCCTTCCACCAAACTTTTTAACTACAATGGAATTGAAATAAAGTCAGGCATGGTGGTATATCGAGGCTGAGCCTGGAGGATTGAATGTTTGAACCCAGCCTGGCAATTTAGCAAGACTCTAAAAAAAAAAAAAAAAGATTGGGACTGGGGATGTAGCCCTGTGTTCAATCTCCATTGCTGGAGAAAAGATTTGGAAAAAAATCTAGAAGTATGTGAGAAATTAAAGCAACACTTTTCTAAATTAACCAGAGATCAAAGACAAGTCATAAATGAAAATATTTTGAGCTGAATGAAAATCAAAATAAATACATAAAAAATTATAGGATGCAGTCAACACAATGGTTGGAAATTTATAGCTACAGACAGAAGAGATGAAAGGTCTCATAATAAGTGTTTCTATTCTAAGAAGCAGGGCAGGGATGATTAAGAGTGAACCCAAGCAAGCAGAAAGAAGGAAAGAATAAAAGTTAAAGAAATTGGCAAAACAGCAGACTGTCACACACCTGTAATCCCAGCACTCAGGAGGCCAATGCAGGTGGATTGCTGTGAGTTCCATCCCAGGTACCAAAAAAAGGAAGAAATATTTTAGGGCCGGGGATTTAGCTCAGTGTTTCCACCGCCTGCCTCGCAAGCACAAGGTCTGGAGTTTGATCCCTGGTACCCCCCCCAAAAAAAGAATATATATGCAAAAAGAATTGAACAACACAGAAAAAGGATTATATGTCATGTATAGATGAGACATTTCAGAATGTAAAGTTTTAACACCTCCAAAATCAAATAATGTTTTGCATTATATTAATAGAATACAGCGCAAAAATTACAAGATCAACTCAGTAGGGCTGGGGATGTAGCTCAGTGGTGCCATGCCTGCCTGGCAAGCCCAAGTTCCTAAGTTTGATCCCCAGTACCAGGAAAAAAAAAAAGTCAACTCAATAGGTGTGGCAAAACCATTTGACAAAGTGAAGTATTTTGGGGGTGGTACTCAGGAACAAAACCAGGGGATCGTACATACTAAGCAAGTGCTCTACTCTTGAGCTATATCCCCAGCAAAATCCAACGCTTATTCACAGTAGATATCCTCAGCAAACTAGGACTGTCAGGAACGTCCTGGACCTGGTGAGGGCACAGATAGGAAGTCTCACCCTCCTGGTTCAGGTTGAACACGGGCTGAATGCCGCTGTGTCTTTTTGTGTGTCACAGTTCCAGAAGTCCCCTCAGTCCACTCAGACAAGGAAGGAAGAAAAGCCACTCAGGCTGGAAAGGAAATCCGTCTGTCTTAACACACAACATAATCCTGCAGAAAATGATACAGGAACAACCACAACTATGACTAGAATCCACAGGCAAGCTCAAAAGGCCTCAGCTACCAAGTCCATGTTCTAAAATCAATTATATTTCTACACAATCTGAAAGTAAAATTAAGAAAACAATTCCATTCTACTCATTAAAAAGACAAATACTTGGAGCCGGGTGTTGTGGTGCACACCTGTAATCCCAGCACTCGGAGGCTGAGTCAGGAGGATCGCTGTGAGTTCGAGACCAGCCTGAGCTACATAGTGAGTTTCAGGTCAGTCTTACTACATAGTGAGACCCTGTCTCAAGAAACCTCCCCCACAAAAAAGACAAATACTTGGAACAAATTAAACAATATAAGTGCAAACTTGTACATTAAAATCTACACATCGCTCAAAGTAAAGGTGACCTAAGGAAATGGAGTTATTCTACATTCAAAAGTTAAAGGATCAACATGTTAAAGATCATAGTTGAAAAATATAAAGACCATAGTTATCCTCAAATTAATCCATGCATTCAGTGTAATTCCTATAAAATCTCAGCAGAAGTCGACAAGTCAATCCTAAAATGTATGTGTAAACTCGAAAGACCTTCCTGATGTCACAACTCAGTAGAA